TTTTTTTTTTTTTTTTTTTTTTTTTTCTTCTTTTTAATATAAAGTTATAATTTCATTTCTATTGAGAAATACAAATGAAAATGAAGATAGTCCCATTTTAAAATTTTATCTAAAATTCTTAAAAATGGTTTGTAGAATTTCTTTGTGGATTTTTGGTATCAATAAAATAGAAAGTCATTATTTATGTGATAAGGAATGGCCAAAAAATATAGTATCAAATCATGTATCTGCTTTAGATCCTTTTTATTTTATAAGTGAACATGCTTGTAGTTTTGTTGCAAAAAAATCATTAAGAAAAGATAGATTTATAGGAGCTAGTGTTCTAGCTTTAAAATGTGTATTTGTTTATAGAGAAAAATTAGAAGATAGAAAAAAAGCATTAGAAAGTATCAAGGAAAGGCAATTACTAGTAAATGATAAAAAAAACAATTATCCTTCATTTGTTATTTTTTCTGAAGGGACTACATCAAATGGAATGCAAATAATTGAACAGAAAAAAGGAGCTTTTTTTTCATTGCTTCCAATAACACCAGTCTTATTAGTTTATGATTATGATATTTTTAATCCATCTTATGATATTCTACCATTTACTTGGTGGGTTTTTTTATCAGCAGCAAATGTAATGAAAAAAGCTTAAAATACCATCTGAATTTTTTTTTTTTTTCTCTTTATTTATTGAATACATTTTATTTATACCTTTTTCTTTTTTTTTTTTTAGTATCAAAGTATGGAATTAAGGACTTATTGGTTGCCAAAAGTTTACCCTCCAGATGAACCAGAACATGCTAACTTAACAGAAGAAGAAAAAATAAATATATTTCATGATAAAGTATCTAAAATAATGTTTCAAAATATGAAGAAATACAATCCAAAAGCTCCCCAAGATATAGATGATTATAATGATTGGCCAGGATCCTTACGATTAAAAGTAGACTATTTTCAAACCGCTTTAGGTAAAGTAGCAACTAAACAATTAAATAAAGAGAAAAATTTAAGTGAAAAGTAACACTTCGTGAAGTCCTATCTAATACTCTATATTTGATTTTTTTTTTTTTTTTCTTTTTTTGAATTTTAATATTTTTAAATTTTCATTAATTAAAATAGCAATGTTTTAGTTATAATTTAAAAAAAAAAAATGAATAGTTTTTTATTAAAAATTTATTTTTATTTTTATTTTTTTTTATTTCTTAAATATATTTGTCTATTAATTTTTTTATTTATTAAACAATTCCTTTAATTTTAATGTGAATATTCCATTTTTTTTTTTTTTTTTTTTTTTTTTTTGGCGTTAATTTTTTGTTCAAGTTTATAGACTTTAGTTTTTTTATATGTATCTCTTTTTAATAAATAATAAGAAAAAAAATATCCATAAATGTTGCACTATATTAAAAAAATAAATCTGGACATTTTTAATAATTAAAATTTTTTCATTATTTCAATATGTATTGGATTTAATTATAAATTTTTTTTTTTTTTTTTTTACAAAACTAAAATCTGTTCAACCTACATTATGCATAATAATAAAATAAATGTTTCTTTTTTTTTTAAAATAAGCCAAATTATAATTTTTTACATTTGTATCATATCTTTTTATGTAAATATAAATAGGATGATGAAATAAAATCTGCTTGTTAACGTGTTATGTATATTAAAAAACAAGCCAATATTTTTAGTATAAATGTGTGCTCTATAATATAGTTTTAAGAAGACAAAAAATAAATTTTATATAATTTTTTTTTTAATATATTTTTAATTATATAAACTAAAAAAAAAAAAAATTTTTCCATGGTATATTTATATTATTGATTTTATATATAAATGGAAAAATTTGACATACTTTCAAAAGAATTGAAAATGATTGTCAAAACTTTGAAAGGTTAAAGACATTTCATATATTTTCATATGAAACTTTTTGTAAAAAAATATTTAACCTAAAAAATATTAATCATTGAATGTAACTTTTTTTATTTTTTTAAATATAATATGTTATATATATATGTGCTATAAACAATTTAAAAAATTTTGAATCTTTCAATTTGTATATTCATTCAAAAATTATTAAACCCCTTAAATTTTTAGTTCTTAAATATTGTAAACATCCCCATATGCTTATTTTCATGTAGTTTAAATTGAAAAGGTATTAATAATAAGGTATTCACTATATATAGAAAATAATTTTTTAGAATATTTAAATTTTTTTTCATAATTCAAAGTCATTCTAGTATATTAGTTTTAGTTCAGGTTTAAAATATAAAATTATAAAAATCATTTTGAAGAACAAAAAAATTAAAGCAAAATTTTAAGAATATCTATGCAACCTTAAGCAACTGCATTCATATATGTAATAATTCCTTAAACTTATAAAAGCAATATAAATATATTTCGAAATTTATATTTAATACCATAATAATTACATGAAATAGACACTAATTTTAGTACATAAAATCATAAATTAATATCAAACATCAAAAGAAGTAATGAAAGTGACTTAATAAATAAAATTATTCGTAAGTACTTATAAATAAAAAATGAAATTATAGCACATATTATATAGACTATTAATTACTGATTTATATATAAAAGAATTTATTCCATTTTATAAAAATAGAGCATGCGGGAAATTGATGTGTGTCTCAAGTCGAAAATAACATATTATTAATAAAAAAAGAAGATAAATGAAAATGAATGAGATAATTGAAGTAAATATATATTAATATATAAAATATAAATTATCAAATGTTGTAAGAATAAGATAGATAAATATAGGTATAATGTTTATTAGTAATATTCAACTAATTAATATTACGGTATTAATTTTTTTTTTTTTTTAAATAAATTTAATTAAATTTATATATTATTTAATCAATTTATTGTGTGATAAAAAATGTTTTTAAAATAATATAGAAAGATAAAATTAGTTCATCAATAAACTCGGAAAGTTGTATTTTGAATATTAAAAATAAGCTTAAAAGGAAATTTTTAAAATGAAAATACTCAAACGAAAAATTCATGTATGCTTATTTATGTATAAATGAGATTAACGATCTTCTTAGAAAGAAAAGAAATGATAATAAAATAACAAAAGAAATTTTTAATTTGATTATATAATATCTTCAAAATTTTATACATCTTTATTGCTTTAGAAACGTGATATTATTTCATTCTTTATTTTTACTATTAAATATGTAAAACAAAATTAATAATTTTTTGTTTTATTTCAGAGAAATTATAAACAATTAAGTTAAAAATTTTATTATACTCTTCTTTTCTATAGAAATATAAGTCTAATCTCATTTTTTAAAATTGATTTTATAATACCAGCATAAAAAATAATTTTAATTATTAATGCATATAACATCTATTTAATTGTAAATAGTATCTATAATTAGGTGAATAAAAAAGTAAATGTAACATTCTTCAGTGAGAAAAAAATAAAAATGATTAGCTCCTTGTCCTTTTATATTAGTTGAATAAATTATCATTTTAAAGATATATGAAAATTATGAAATTCTATGATTTTTATAAATATCTTCTTTAATAAAATTTTTTCAAATTATAAATCAAATAATAACATTAATATTATTTTATTAAGAGAATTATATGATTTGTTCAAGTAGAGTTTATCTTTTAATAACTATTTTTTTTTCTTTTTGATAAGTTAATATATCAGCAATAAAATGTTATAAAACATAAAAATAAAGACTAATAAATATAGCTAATATATTCATACATACATATAAAGAAATAACATTTGATATATCTTAATATAAAAATATTAAAATTAATTAAAATAAAATTTTATGAGTAGTTTTTTTTTTCTTTTTTTCCTTTTATAGATATTCATATTACAGAAACATGGATAAGTATAAATCCATTTTTTTTTTTTTTTTTTGCTTATTAAATCATCCTATTATCTGTTTTTTACTTTAATGTTTTTCTTTTCATATATTCTACTTATATAATTATCTTTTTTTAAATAAAAAATAAAAGATTCCATGAAAAAATTCAAAAAAACTGAATGTTTATATTTAATACTTTAATGTATACATGTGCAATAAACTCCCAATGTGTGCATTAACAAATGCCATTTTTATTGCACGTTCATATAAAAAAGCTAAAATTACACAAACGTAATAAAAAAAAAAAAAAAAAAAAAAAAGTTTCAATCATTTTTGTATATAATTTATTTGTTATTTTAAAAATAATTATTTATAAATATAAAAAAGTGGAATCTCCATTTTTTTAGGTGTTCCCATTTTTTTATAAAAAAAACATAATAATTTTATTTTGTCCGTTTATATTTTTTCTTAATCATAATATATTTTAAATTTAAGGTATACAAAGAAAGATTGTTTTATTAATCTATATCAATAAAAAATTTTGTAAAAAAATGTAAAAGCAAGATATTTACATAGTTCTAAAGATATACATATATATTAATTATTAAATCTAAGACATCATTGTATAACAACATAGGGATTTGTTATATTTTTGTAGATTGAAAAAAGAGAAAATAATTCATTTTTAAGAATAATTTTTTATAAATTACAAAAAAAAAAAAAAAAAAAAAAAAAAAAAAAAAAATTTAAATTAATAATTTAAA